TCATGGTGATTTCTTCTTCCCTGCAGGCTTCTCCAGCTGCCCTGGCAAAGAGCGTGTTGGCTGAAGTCCCAAACCAAGTGGTGGACTATTACAATGGCAAGGGGATTAAGCCAAAATGTTCATCAGAAATGTATGAGTCGTCCAGGACACTGGCTCCATGACCTCCACACACTTTTACAGAGTTCTGAAGTACTAATCCTGCTCATATTTAATACTTCTACTGCTCCTGTACTCAGCACACACGCGCACACACACACACTTAAAGATAGCACGTTTTGGTGATTTTTAACTCATTGACCATTTTTTTTGCATGTGTAGCCCTGAGGCCTGGATCTGTTAAGCCCTTGTATTGTTAAAGACTTTTTACAAAGAACCAGAAATAATTATAACTTACTCTTTACAGCATGTCGCCTTGAAATAAAATGGTATCTGTATCTGTTTTTATACAGGTTTGTTGAAATTTTGCTAAATTTCTTATTATCTTTACACTGTAAAGCATTTTGAAACATTTACTGAATGTCGATAGCCAAAATATATTTGGTTTTATCTACAGGATGAGAGACTTTTCAAAATGGCGGCTGCATGGACTGTATTTTGCATGTTTAAAATAAAATTAAAAAGTCCCACATTGTTTTTGCAATTGTTATCTATAATTCTTCCCTACTGAGAATGGTCTCTCCACTGAAGAGGTTTCCCCACTTGGAGGTGGTCTTCTGGAAGGGGGTCTCGGGCACTTAGCCCAGGACCTCTGACTTTGCTGTCCACACTGATCACCTGAATCTTACTAGGATTCAGACCGTGATGCAGTAGGTCTGCATGGGCCCAGCCTTTGCATCTGTAACAAGGTCCCAGGTGATGCCAGTGCAGTCTTCAGACCTCACGAAGGGCAACGAGGGTCCAGCCTCAAGACATGATGGTAGAGACCTTCCAAAAAAAGGCAGCCTCATCTGCTTTAGAATGGTACCTCTTCCCACGCACAAAGGTCCTGCCTGCCTCAGAGGTGCGAGTAGAAAGTAATGAGACTGATTCCAGAAGCTGCACACCCCAAATCAGTCTCACTGCTTTATAGTCACACCTCATTTTAAAACAGACTAGGGAGGGCTGCTACTGGCTGGCCCTGCCCCTTAAAAGGTGGCACCCCACTCTGCAGCATGGATGATTCCATTCTTTCCATCCACCCCTAGCAGAGCTTAGAGTTTCAGGGGAACCACAGAGATGGAAAATTGCCGTGCACAGGCAGTGTGACTCCCCAGACCTCTGGCGCAGCAGGGTGATCTGAAAGCATAGTGTGGACCTTCTCTCTGCCTCTTGTATCACTCCTGAGAGCAACTGGCAGCAGAAACGCCTGGGTTTACTGTTTTGGATAGAGGTGTTTTGTTTTGATATAAACTAGCCAGTCTTGAACCAAAAGAATGAATGTTCTACTTGTATAATCTGCTCACAGAGAAACAACCAAGTGTTCTGTAGGCATAAAAGCCCAAGATAGAATTTATTTTTGGTCAGAGAGATGGTGAAGTAAATCACAAGGCAACATGGATCTGTCTGTTGTTTATTTGTCGAGGGGAGAAGTGTTAACTAGCAAATCAAATGCCTCCTATGATTTCTTTTCCAGTGTTATGATTATAGAGCCTAATCTTGCAAATACATGCCAGAAAAATGCACAACATTTTGAGAATGATGGCAAAAATGTATGACTTGAAAAAAAAAAAAAACAACCACCAATATTTAAGCTGTATTGTTTTCTGAATAAATTGGGTACTTACAGAATTTTTTCTAAGAGTTATAGTCTTGCTTCTCTTTTCAGTTTCCAGAACAGTGATTTATTTCCCTGGCCTCGGATTAGGAATAGCTCTTTCACAGTGCCACAGAAACATATGGGCTGTTATTTTTTAACAGAGAATGAATAGATGTAGGATGTAGGCCCTGCCCTACCGATTATCTCACAGCTGTCATGGAGGACATGAACTTTTATGTCTATTTGGCTGGACCATATTGAGGACTCAATAAATGCTTAATAAATACAGGGATGATCAATCCAGTGAACGAGTGCACGAATGGATGAATGAGTGAACCTGTGCATGTGACTCAGCAATTTTCAGTCCATTGTAGATTTAACATTGTGAATGAAGTGTTTGGTTGTCAATCAAAATGACGACATGTCATTCTCAAGCATCTTTACAGTCTAGTCCCTTCATGTCAGGATCCCTGGGATGACAAGGACAGAGCCAAGTTGGCCTTCACAGAACCTGAAAGTAGTTTGCTTCTCTGTTTAACCAGACTCCAACCCAGCTGCAAAGAATAATAAAAACAACATTAACAATCATTGAGGGCTTACTGTGCTCTGGGCCGCAAGCATTATAAATGCTTGGTCATTACTACCTCATTTCTTTCTCCCAACAGCCCATAAGGTAGATGGTATTATTAGCCTAATTGCAGGAAACTGAGACAGGGAGATTATGAACCCAAAGTTACAGTTATCAAAAGTCATAGTCAGGTTTGAACACAGACACCCCCACTTTGCCTCCTGGCAAGCGATCCCCATCGATTTACCATATTAGGTCACACACAGTTTATCAGGAGATTGGAGAACAAGAGTCTTAAAACATGACCTCTTTCTCCATTTCAGAAATGTCTCATCTGCCTGCCTCAACTTCTTGTTCCTGGGTTCCCGGCTTTTGTTATCTACAACATCCCCCTGGGGGAGATGAAGACACAGGAGACAGCCAAGTCTTCCCAACTTCCTGCCATCCAGGAGACCCTATAGGTCAGGCTTGCTAATGCAGAAAGCTGAGGGAGCCAGCAGGAAGACTGAGGAGGAACCAGTCTGGACCAAGGGACCTGAGAGGTCACGTGTGGTGAGGGTGGAGGGAGACTGGGAGGCCTGTGCCCAGTGAGGGTGGCTGCCACCCAGCTCCAGGCCCAAATGTGGACGCAAGGTAGCCTGTCCATCCAGTTTTTCAAGAGACTCCAAAAGCCTGGGATTTCACATAAAACCTGCCAATTTACATTAGTTTTGTTTATGCATACAATAACTGGGTGTAGGCCAAAGATGTGGAGTATAAGAGGATTCACTAGAGACAGTGGGAGCAAAACAGGCAGATACAGTGAAACATACTGCTGGGGGGAGCAGTGGGGAGACAGGAGAGGTCTGCTGCGTCATGTGGTCAGCTCCCTGGCCAGGGATCGAACTCTTGGCCATAGCAGTGATAGTTTTGAGACTTAACCCGTAGGCCACCAGGAGGCCCTATCATCTCGTATAATTCTTGTCACAGGGGGGATGTTAAACTATCGTCTCCTTTAGTTTAAGTCTCGATTATCCTCTCTTGTCTGGGATTTAAAAGAAACTTCTAGCTAGCTTACTTAATCTTTATTACCTTCCACTAATCTGCTTGTCATCCTTGGGCCAGAATGCTCACACAAACCAAGCATCTCACTGCTCTGCTTCAAATCCTTCAATAGCTCCCCACCAACCTCAGAATAAATCCTCAGCCCTTGAGTGAGGCCCTGATATAACATGCACCTGACTGCTATCATCTGATCCTTGTCTACTTTTTCTGCCCACCTCATTCCACACTATCATACACCCCTTTTCCTGTTGCACCTCTTGAAACTTGCCCTATCGCACCTCTGTCAGCTTCCACTTATTTTTGAAATCCCAACTCAGGGGACATTTCTCAAAAGCCTTCCAGAACCCTTCGGACTTTGGCCCACTATTTCTACTCCTTCCCTTTTCACCTGCACCTACCTCTGCCAGAAACTCTCTCTCCAGCTGGAACTAGAGACTCGGGTTCTAGCTGTCTGGCTCTGGGGGCACGCTTTGGCCCAGTTGTTGTTCAGCACCCAATGAGGGATCGATCAATAAGAGGAGGCGCCCTCTTGTTCTGCAGGCAAACCAGGTGTATATGAGTATATGATAGCACCT